AGTTGTTGCTTGGTATAGGTTGCTAAGCCTTTAAAAATTTTGCACATGGAGGACATGGAACAAAATATTTTTTTTAATTTTTTCATGTATACTTTTGAATAACTAAAAAAAATCATAAATTCTACATCAATACCATAGAATTCTACTACAATTTATCAAGTTTAGTAACTAAGCTTTATTTGGGTCTAAAAAAAATATGAAATTTCGACCACGCTAAAGACGCAACCTACCTTCTTGAAATCTTTGTTCGAAAGAACGAGATGGCATATGAACAATTTAAAATGGCTGAGAAAGCCACTAGGGGGACATTGTGCGCTTTCGATTGGTTATTCACGTCATATATAGAATTAAGTGTTTATAAGGGAGCGTTTCCAAAAATGGAAAGAGGTGGTGGGGTGCCACTGTGCTTGATTTATTATGTGAGCAGCATCTTAGCAAATAGAAAAGACAAAGACCTTCTTATTTTATATTCTTGCTTGTCAATATTGGTAATTTGACTTCACTAATTTGAATCAGTATTGCATTCAACATACCATGTGACACACAAAAATCGATGTTTACCTGTGTTTTTTAATATATACTTATAAATTAACAAATTGATTAATGTATAGTTCTAAAATTTGAATTATAGTCTACAGTTTGATACCAAACTTGTTGACATAAATTCACAAAATACTAGTTCAATAAAATTTTGAATGTGAGTCAACAAACAAGATGACATGGCCTTTCACCTGTGACCCGTCTCAAAAGGGTTAAGGTAAAAAAAAGAGACCTACTAAATCACAAACATAAAATAAATGGTTGGGAAATTCATTACACAAAATCAGAAAAATTGTAACAAGGTAAGTTTGTAATTTTACAGTTTCTTTCACATTTGAATGAATGAAAACTTTTAACAAGCACCAGTTTTAGCATTTTTTCAAAGAATAATTCTATTCAAATAAGCGATTGCTTTCATAAAGCTCTTTCTTTTTCTTATAATCTTAGCACACACACAAATGAATTTTAAATTTAATTTCCTCAAAATTAATCACCAAACAAACAAAAATACATGCAAAAATTTCAACAGTGTGAAAGTGAGATGACCATCACCAAACTACCTATTTAAGTTCAAACCTAATAGAAATAATTTCAAGACTGTTAAATGACTTACTAAAATCATTGATAAAGTAAGAAATAAAATTCATTATGTATTTAGACAGAATTAAACCAACTAAAACTCAGTTCAATGATAACCCAAAAAAACATGTTAAGTAACAAACCTGTGAACCTGACTGTCCGAAGTTTATACAACTCTAATTAGTAGCTAATTAAGGAAATATCTAAGTAAAAATATCAAATATTTATATGCTAGAGTAAACTTTCTACAATTAAAAATTAATTTAAAGAAAATTACTCAATCCTCAAGAGTTCAATCTTCAAGTTATTTCTTACCATTTCCTGGAATCACAGTATGTGGCACACCTCTGTGTAGATTTGCACTGATTACACATCCATCACTCAAAGGCGACCCAAGAAGAGGGCTACCACCTCTGGTTGATTGTGTGGGAATAGATGATGTTCCACCATTCAGAAGACCACCCAGGGTTGAGTCTAAAGGTGATGGCTGTAAAGATCTTAGCCCCTGAGTGTGAGTTGGATGCTGGGATGTTGGAGTGCGTGGTAGACCAACAGAATCTGGACTCAGACTAGAAACTATCTGACCATTCAGGAGTACTTGCCCTGTAAAAAGGCACTCAAAAATTACTAAATTAATTTCATTTTTAGTTTATTACTGAATGCAGAAACGTAATTCTATTTAAAAAAACACACACATATCCAACTGTTACAAAGATACAATTCTGTCTATTAACTTGTTGTTTCAAATATATTACATTTATTTGGCATTTACAATATATGTCATTCTCAAATAACAGGTTGAATAATAAAAATATAAATTCTTTAAAAAACTGATATTTCTAAATATACATTTTTATGTCAGAAAAGTTTAAGAATACCACAAGTTTGCTCTATGCAGGTTTTTTTGGTAACTTTTGGAATATATAATATGAAAAAACAATTGTTGATTTGCATGTCTTGGATTGGCTCTATCATAGAAAACTTAAATCTACCTTCTCTACATCAGACTGCAAAATGGACTGTAAATTTAGCAGCAGTCATCTTAAAACATACCAGCCAATTTGGCAATGATCAACTGAACTTTATTAGGAGAAAAGTGTCGAGAATTTGTTAAAGCACAAGCCATGTTTCATTCATTCATTCCCAATGTTTTATGAATTATTTTTATAGTTTTTAAAACTACCTTATAACTTGTTAGTATTTTACTTTTGTTTCAGTATTGTTGAATATACAAGACTGTTTAGCTTAAGAGTTATTATTTAGTGATTTGATATTTAATGATTATTTAGTTTTCATAACAAGTCTTAAAAGTTAATTATTTTAAATGCAATAGCTGTGACAAGTTTCATTACGTGACGCTGTACGAGTCATACGTTGCGTATGGAGTTAAATTGTTGTACTAGGCTTTAGTAATACTGTTGACATCATCTTACTCGAAGCTTCCAAGTTTTTACAATTATGTGTAATATTGTTGCTACTAGAGATTTCTAGATTATTCTGTTATGTGTTATAAATATGTGCAGACACAGAAAATTAAATGAAGTTAGAAAAAGTAAGTTAGAGAAAGTGATGTTAGACTACATGATTGTTAGTTTAGCTGTAACGGCGATATCTAAAGTGAGTTTCACAGTGGAATTGTAATAACAAAGATAAAGAAGAAGAACTTGTCTTGTTAAAGGATTCTAAAGTAATTGAACCAGCCTGTGTGGACTTTGACAAAAAGGAGACAATTATTTAAAGTTCTGGATACAACCGTGGTAACCTACGGGGTAACGTAAGTGAATTTATCGCAGATTATATAGCGAGAAAAAGAGATAGAGAAGAATAATTTGTTGTGTCAATTGGGTTCTAAAGTAACTGAACTAGGCTGTGTGGCCTTTTGAAAAGAAAAACGAATTATTTAAAGCTTGAGATACAACTGTAATAAACATCATTGTAATGAAGTTTAGAACATACGGTTGACTTTTTTTTAAATATATTATCATAAAACAAATGAATTATGTAATGTCCATCTATTGTTGACATTTATTGCCAACAAGTCACAGACACCTATTGTAAAGAATCTTGGCCCAATATACAAAAACCCTGAGAGGTATTAAGTGAGAATGTATGTTGATAACAGATAATCGTGGTATTGTTATTTTCAAATTGAGTGGCATCTCTTGCAACAAAGGAGATAAACGTCCAGATTAGAGACCTCATCTTTCAGGCATAGATTTTCCTAGTTTAAAATTACCATCCAATTTGAAGGGGATAGTCAACAGTACCTGCTACCCATGCAGCTACTTTCTTTACCATCCCATTGGAAGGCGATAGTCAACAGTACCTGCTACCCATGCAACTACTTTCTTTACCAGCCCATTTGAAGGAGATAGTCAACAGTACCTGCTACCCATGCAGCTACTTTCAAACAAATAACTGATCTACTTCCACAATTACAGTGGCCAAACCTGGCTCTAATATAGCTTGAGAGAATTCTTTTGGGCTACATATATATATGTGTGTGTGTGTGTGGTGGGGGGTAGGGGGG